TTTTAATCCTTAGTTTCCAAGCATCAAATATGCCAAGATTTCGCGGCACATCAACACCCTCAACTTATAACCATTACTTGTCCTCAAGTGATGAAAAAACAATACATTCAACCCTCAAGTGATTCAAACACTTTTGACACTACACAACAACCATCTCACATACAATTTGTATCCAAAACTCTAAATCTAACATGCAAGGATAAATCTATGACATCTCATTACTCATAGTCGATTATGCTTATGGCTGTTAATTATCAGCTAACACAATCTACTGTCAAATGCAATCACTGTGCCCTCACACCACAGAAGTTCCTCACTCATGATAATTAGGACTAAGTACTACGCTCGCACTCTCAAAGAACTTCTAACACTAACAACAAACTACCATAGGCTTGCCCTTTCTTTCTAAGCTCTATCTTGCAAACTCCCGGAATCGGATCACTGTAGGACTTTATCGTCTTGTAACATAGGCTTAGGCTAGGGAATTGATATTTGTGTTCGTGAGTGACTAGTCCCTTGGTTTTCCAAATTTTTATTTTCTCACAACTTTTTTCAGAGCGATGCCCTCTTTTTCTTTATTTCATCACATCCCAACCGCCATTATTTTCCTTTTTCATTTTCTTTTCATCTTTTCCTTTTCTCTTTTCACACTTCTTTATTTATATGCATTTTTTATATGCACTCAGCTCATTGGTTGAACCTTCTTTTTCACTCTTTTTTCTGCTCGAATTGCAATCACCCTCAACTTAGGCTTTTGGCCTGAGTTGTGACATAGTATCTTCGGAGACCAAATGATATGATATTTATTGGGTAAGAACAATAATTGCTTTTTAGGCTCAAATTTGGTTGAAGTGGTAAGCTTTTTATTTGGTTGTTTTATTTGTGGCTTTTTAGTGGTTTAACAAAAATGGACTATAGATCCTTTACTATCATGTTATTCTTAGATTTAAGCAAGATTACTCAGGCAAGTTATAGTTTTTGTTCGTAGTGTTAGATTACGAACAACACTCACATACACACTTGACACATGACTACATTTTCCAAGTTCTTGGTTCACCAATTTATTTATCAGACTAACAATGATCAACATGTAAGTATCTAAGATGTAGTCTAAAGATCCTAACAGTTAAATTTAAGATTAAGGTCCTTATTTTTCAGAGACTAGCTGCTGCACATCTTAACACACAAACAGAAACACAAAACCAGTTTTCAAAGTAAACACAAAGTCAACTTCCATTCATTATAACATCTTAGAATGGCAGGTTGCTCACCACCCCTCCCCAAAAAAAGGACTTTTCCCTCAAAGTCAATAAAGAAAATAAAACAGGGTTGTGAGGAAGTGTCATACCTATGACACTCTAGGCACCGGTACTTGGAGTAGCGTTGCCACACTTATCAATGGGTTCACTCTCAGAACTCAACATATGATCAGGCTGGATACCACTCGTCGGGGAAGGTACACCACTACCAGAAGCTCCAGCTAACACTACATCTCGTTGTTGTTCCTCACGTACTTATTTTTCTCTAGCTGCCTTTCTTGATGTCTTGCGGGCTTTCTTTTCTTGCCTTCTTTCCTCTATGGACAGCTCAGCAGGTATCTCGTCACCATATTCTTTGGCTTTGTGTTTTCTCTTGCTGGACTTACTCTTAGGTAGTTCACCCTAGAAATCGTCAAGTGATTGAGCAATTGCATCAAAGAATCTGGCATAATCAGAGTGGGTTCTTGTACAGGCTTTTCTGCCAGTTTAGCAACTTGATTTCTCATCTCAGCCAATTATGCTCTAAACTCTTCAGTATCTATGGAACCTGCGGCCTTGAATCGATTCTGAACAAGGTTCTCCAAACCATCATTCCCATCTTTTAACACAACCATCTCCTTCTAAATCTCATTTTTAATCTTTCTTCAGAGCTGACACATCTCTATCTATTATCTATGGCATCCGATTTAAAATATTATTGACCAAGGTCCTGGTTTGGAATAGTGACGTAGGTACCTTGTGCCTGTGAGGTGGAAGCTGGTAGTGGTGGTGCCTCTGTAGATGGCTGGGATGACTCTGACTATTCTGGACCTCTATCTGCATGTGGGATATCAATTGGTACGTGAGGAACAACCGCCAAATTACCCACAACTCCATATTTTGCACCAATGAGATGGTTCGTGACATCTTTGATATTAGAAACTTGGGTGAATCTGAATTCTTCACCCCATCGGTCAACCAGCTTATTTTGGGGGAATGTTCGCTTGTTGACATAATTTTCCTATCAGACAGGGAAAAGAAAATCAGGCTCTCTAATTCAATGCCCTGTCGCATATCGGTTGCTATGATCAACCCCACATTTATCGGGTAACCAACCATAAGGCATGCTACCAAAGAAGCTAGTGAAGGATACAATGTGTTATCATTAGCTTTCGGTCTCAATTGCGCTTAGACAACAACCCACCAAATCTTAGTTGGAATAGATAGTGAAGTTTTTTTAATAAGTGTTGGCGTTGTTGTGACCCAAACTGCATTCTCTCCATCTATGGCAATTTGCTTTGCAATCTAGTGCAAGACCCTCTCTCGAGAAATCTGAATCTCCATTGTAGTATCACTGGTGACTTTATGATGGTTGTCCTCTAAAAGGCCAATTGAAGTTGGTGCAGAGTATTCTGGGCCATGCAATATCCTGTTAATAGTTGCCTCAGAGATATCTACTGATTTTCCCCGAACTATAATTGAGTTGAGTGGACTCCAAGTAATAGAAATGTCTTTCAGTGAAAATTTTGTTGTCTCTATTTACGCAGCAAAGTTCATCAGTGTAGCTGCTTAAGATGAATAAATCTCTCTGGCCGAGTGGCTAGAGTATTTTCCAGGTGCATTTTTCATCCAGTCAAACTTATGAAACTGAAATGTTCGATAAATGTCGGGGAATGCTTTGATATCAGCTACAACCACCCTCGTCTCAGGCATGATTGCTCGCTTCTTGAAGTTGCCAATCTTGGTCACAATACAATTGTTGAAGAATTTTTCAGACCGGTTTACAGTTCACATGGAGCGGTAATAGTCAATCAGCTGTTGTCTCGCTGTGGGATCAGGATCATGGATATTCATATAAAGATGCATGGTGTCATCGGTTGTGATCTCTTCATCTTCTTCTACTGTACCTTCTTCTTCTTGTGCCCCAGTTTCAGTTGTTATGTGTAATGTAGCATCATCCTGAAAGCCGCCGTCAGACTCTGCACTGCCTTCCAAAACTATCATCAGACTGGCTACCAAAACCCGCATTGGATTCACTTCCCAATTCTTCACTGCTACCGGAATGACTACCTCCCATTTCAGACTTGGGAGGAGTGTCCTGGAGAATTACCCTTCTTGTTTGTGCTCTAGTAGCCCAAGGTTATTGATCGTCAATGGTGGTAGTTATTTGCACCACGGAGATACTAGACTTGGAGTCGTTATGACCTTATTATTGAGAAGCAGTGGGTGCAGACTGTGGGTCTGCGTTCTGTCTTTCTTCTTGGAGGCATAGTACCTGAAAAACACAACACTCATTAGAACAAAAATCAGAAAAATGACACACTATCGGGTACTCAGACGTCCCATGTGTAATTACATCATGACGCCTTGCCTTAAGAATGCCGTCACACAATCTATCATTGGGAAGGGCCCCAGAATCAAAAGATGAACAGAAAAAAAAGTACAGAAGAATAAAATTATATTAAACAAGTAAACTGTATGAGAGCTTACACTTGCCCAAGTATTTTTCACGGATGGATTCATGGCCCATGGAGTGAACCACGGTCCATAATACTACCCGTAAACCTAACAAGTGATAATATGAAATGCCCAAGTGTGGTCCACGAGTGGTTTCACGGCTCGTAGTGGCTTCCACGATCCGTGAAGCCTATCATGGTCTTACACTTGGGCGATCAATCATACATTGCTTCCCCCACTATTACTTCTATAATATGTCACCCCCATTTTAAACACGACTACTAACACCACTTAATTTCAAACATGCACAAAGCAAACAAGAACAATATTCATTCAGTAAACAGATACCCTGATCATACCCACACAAGAATCATCAATTTTACATAATGCAAACTAACCCACAACAATTTAACATCAATCCATATTATTTCTCACATGATTATGCTAATTTCAACTAAATCGAAGTAAATCTAACTTGTTTTTAAACAAGATGAAACTTATATCAAGTTATGAAGTGACTTACTAGGAGATTAAAAGAGAATTTCGCTCAGAAAGAAGAATCAGTGGACTCAGCTTGAATTTCTTGACAACGTAGGTTTAACGCTTCGATTCTTCGATGAATTAAGGATTTGTGAATGATGGGAATAATTTATACTCCTTAAGAACCGTTATAGGGAAAAGAATGGGGGAGAAAAATCTAACCTTTGGGTGCTTGGGAGTATTAAATATACATTTAATTTAAGTTCTTTCTTTCGCGCGGGTCGAGTAGGTTTCCTGTTAATACTGGGTTGTGGACAACGGACCGTTAAAGTGCCCGTGAAGGTCATCATGGTCCGTACAGTGGTCCATGAAATTGACTTACGACAAAAATACTTACCTGTGGTTCATGAGAGGCTAGACGATCCGTACAAATCATGACGGATCGTGAACCCTTCTGTGAACCTTTTTCTTGCAATTTCCAGTAACTCCCTTAGGTTTGTACTGAGATTGACGGACCGTGAAGTTTCCTGTGAAGGGCACCACGTTACGTGAGGCTGCTCATGAAGAGCAATCTCCACCCAGTTCCTGTAATTCATAACCCTAGTCTCTCCTATGCACATCAACACACAGTGACTCTATAAAAAAAAAGAAAAATACGAAAAAAGGGAAAATACCTAATACAATTACATCTTCGGCGGTTGCCTCCTAAACAACGCATAGTTTAACATCGCAGCGCGACGCGGGTTACTTGATTATTTAGACTTCATCAAGTTTACATTCCTCCATAATCTTTACATCATTTGGAACACCCAAGTATGCCTTGATTCAGTGACCATTGGATTTGAGCCTCTCACCCTTGTCATTTTCAAGCTCAATAGCACCCGACTGGAACACCGGAGTAACCTTAAAAGGTCCAGACCATTTGGATCTCAATTTTCCCGAAAACAGACGAAGTCTGGAGTTGAAAAGTAACACCAAGTCACCAGGAGTGAAGGTTTTCTTTTCAATATGCTTATCATGATACAACTTCATCCTCTCCTTGTACAATGCAGAACTCTCATAAGCTCTCAAACGAAACTCATCCATCTCATTAATCTGATCCAGTCTCAAGTTTTCTGTTTCGGTCCAACTGTGATTCAGCTTCTTTACAGCCCAGAGTGCTTTATGTTCAAGCTCAACCGGCAAATGGCATACCTTTCCAAACACCAATTGATATGGAGACGTACTAATAGACGTCTTGAAAGCTGTCTGATGTGTGCATAGAGTATCATCTAACTTTCGTGCCCAATCTATCCTGTTGACATTTACTATTTTTCTCAAGATCGCTTTATTTCCCTATTGGACATCTCTACTTGGTCACTGGTCTGCGGGTGATAAGGTGTTTGAACCTTGTGTTGTTTAACCCCATATTTTGTCAGAAGAGCACTGAATACCTTGCAACAGAAATGGGACTCGCCATGGGTAACTGATGGCACCGACAGATGGATCTTTGTCGCTGGCACACATCACAACTCCTCACTATGTCTATCCATCCCGATGAATTGTGGGCCAGTAGTACCCACACTGAAGTAGCTTGTGGGCTATTCTAGCACCTCCATGATGACCACCTACCGAAAAAGAGTGACAACCTTCTAGAATATACAACATCTCATCTTCAGGAATACATCGCCTTATGATGTTGTCAACACACATCCTATGCAGATAAGGTTCGTCCCAAAAATACATACCTACATCATGCAGGAACCTGTTCCTTTGCTGAAATTTCAGCCCCTCAGGCATTAAATCACTAACAAGAAAGTTAGCAAAATAAGCAAACTAGGGAATTAGATCAAGAGTAGCGGCTAATACCTACTCGTCCGGGAATGCATCATTGATTGCTAGTTCATATTCCTCTTTCTCTTTAGTCTCCAACCTAGATATATGATCAACCACCCGGTTCTCACAACCTCTCCTATCCTTAACTTCAAAATCAAATTCTTGAAGAAGTAATACGCATTTGATCAACCTGGGCTTGGCATCTTTCTTTGCCATGAGGTATCTCAGAGTTGCATGATCCGTATGAACTATCACTTTAGTTCCTAGCAAGTAAGCTTTGCCCCAACACAACTCTAAAAGCAGTACCACTAGCATCGCACATTACCTCAAATGGCTCTGCCCAATCTGGCCCAACGATCATTGGTGCAAAAATCAGCTTCTCTTTTAGGCATTCAAAGAGCCATTTGATGATCTCCTTTTTGACCACCTCTTTGCATAGGTGGGTTTAGCCTCCGCTGGTGTTCAATGCGTGGGCTGCAGTCCTCCTCAAGTTGAATTTTATAGGTGCATATACATAGAGGTATCCCGATGATGTCTGCAATGGTCCACCCAATGGCCTTTTTGTACCTTATCAAAACTTTGATCACAACTTGAATCTGTTCATTATTCAAATCTATAACCAAAATCACAGGTAAAGTGGTATTAGCTCCAAAACATACCTAAGGTGACTGTGTAATGGTTTCAGTTCCAGCACAGGTGGTTCCTAAATGGATTGGTTTGATGGAGGACTTGGCCTATTTTTCAAATCCAGGTCCAATTTATTTGGAGCATAAGAATGTGCTCCTATACCCTGCAAAGCATTCACAGTCTCTACATAGACCGACTGAAAATCAGCCTCAAAATTTGTCAGCACTGCAACTAAGGTTTCAACAGCCAACCTCTCTTCAATTATTGCTCCCATTTCTTCTTCATCAAAAACCTCTACCGCAGACACCACATTCATTTAATGTGGCTGCTTCATGTACCTACACATATTATATTTTGCCTATTCTTTGTTGAGTTTGAATTTCAGTTCTCCTCACTCAACATCTACCAATGCTCATCCTGTGGCCAGAAATGGTCTTCCCAAAATAATGGGAACCTTAAAATGTACTTCACAATCCAAGTTCACGAAGTCTACTGAAAAGATGAACGTGTCCACCTTTACGAGCACATCATATAGGATGCCCACATGTCACTTCACTAACCTATCTTCCATCATCAACCTCATCGTTGTGGGTTTTGGAACTCCTAACCTTAGTTGCTTGTAGACGGCCAGCGACATAAAGTTTATATTGGACCCTAGATCACACAAGACCTTTGCAAATTTGATTGATCCAATAGTACATGGTTTAGTGAATGCACTGGGATCCTCCTCCTTCTGTACCAGAGACCTTGTAGCAATAACATTCCAATAATGAACATGGTTAGTCAAATCAATACTAACTGCTCTTTTCTTTGTAACCAAGTCTTGAATGAACTTGGCATATCCTGGCATCTTCTCAAGGGCTTCCACCAGTGGTATGTTTACGAACAGTTGTCATATCATGGTGATGAACTTTGTAAATTTCCCATCCTCAACTTTCTTTTTAAGCCATTGGAGGAAAGGCGGAGGTGGTCTTGGGATCTGCTGTAAAGGCATATTTCCCTCAACCTCGTTCTCTTTTCCTTTTGAAGGTTGTGCTATTGGCTGAGCATCCTCCAAGTCATCTACATGTTCAGCTTCATCCTCCTCTCTTCCAGCTTGCTTTAAAACCTGCTCATGTTTAGTACTTGCAGAAATAGGGTTAGTAAGAATCTTACCACTCTTAGTGGCGATAGCCATGCAATGCCCGTTCATCTTAGGATTTTGGATCGTGTCACTTGGTCCTCTAGTTTAATGACACTGAAAGTTGCCCCAACTGCTGCTCGATATGCTTGATGAGGTGGTGTGAGAGTCTACTAGTTGACTCATACTAGAGAAATCACTTTTTATCTCCTTCACCCCTGCGTTAGTTGATTCAAATTTTTGTAGCACCTTAGCCAACATGTATTCCAGCTTATACCCGCTGGAACTACCACTTGCCCGGTTTCTATTACCTAGGGGCACATAGACACCACTGCGATCATTTCTGTACCCATATCTGTTCTTTTAGTTTCTGTGCTCTCGGTTTGCTGGCCTATCATAATGACATTCCCTTGAGTAGTTCCGAACTGCAACTCTTTTGATTCTGGAAAGAATCCTTCTAGAAAAGCCTCATTCAACTCAGTCCAAGTCCTGATTGAGTCAAGTGGCAACTCATTCAACCAATTGGTTGCCTCTCCTATAAGAAACAAAGGAAACAACCTCAATCTCATCGCTGTTTGGCTTACTCCAGGAATCTCTTGTGATTTCCAAATCGCCACAAAGTTCAGGAGATGTTGATTAGCATCATCACAAGCTACACCCCTGAACATACCTTTTAGATTCAGCAGTCGAATCATAGTGCTGGTGATAGTGAATTTAACACCTAGAGGTCGTGCATGTAACACTATCGCTCCGGTGGCTCCAACTCCATCCAAGTCTAAGTCATCCTCCTCATACATCATGTGAGCTGGATGCTATGCCCTACTCCTTGGAGCTATTGGTTGGTGGTGTGGAGGAATGATTCCATCCACAACTATGTTTTTCTCTACTGCCCTATGATGGTTGTTCACAACATTTGACTGAATACCTATTGCAACGGTTTCAACATCCAATCCAAATCTCTGTCTCTACGCCTCAAGTTCTTGTTCGTACACCATTTTGCGAATTTTTTTCCGGAGTTCTGGGTCGTATGGGACTAATGGGGCTTCCTCACTTATGGTATTTGGCCTACATAGTGGAACTCACCTGAAAGAGACATAGACAAAGAACAAGACGTAAAATTAGAAAATCTAACTACACTTAAAATAAAAGCTAGTAAAACACTTTTGAATTGAAATTCCCTTGTAGCGGCGCCAAAATTTGATAAACGTCCAAACTTACACCGCAATTAAGAGATATAAATTGTCAAAGTCAATTTATAGAACCCAGCGTGGGTTGAGGTCGATTCTATAAAGAACTTTTGTACATAAATGACTTCACAGTCGTGTTTTACTCAAATGTCGTTATGATTTCGTAAATAAACAATTACGGAAAGTAAAATTGGTTTGAGCGTTAACGCTTTGGTAACAAAAGTTGCAAACTAAAGTCTACTTCAACAATTAACAAAATATCAGTTGTGAAGTCTTTTCAATAATTAACTGAAACTAGGATTCTATTCCCCATAACATTGTGTCTAATGTTCTTTCTTACTTGAGTATCATGCAATTTATCTCTACAAAGTACATGCGAGTTAGCTATATCTGACACTTCTCAGTCTGCTCAGATAATTTTCACTCAATACCTGTCGGTCCTAGATTGTTACATGATTTACCCTCGCCTACAATGGTTTTAAGGTTCTTTTCTCTGGAACTTAAACCCCGACTCCATTTTGTCAAATTAATTTAACTTTTTCCTAACTATCATTTTTCTCTCGAAAAAATGACAAATACATTCTCACTGTAATGCATGCACTCATCATAATAAATACATAACAAAAGCTAAATTACAATTTGTAAACATAAATGGCGTTTCACTCGTTTTAGGAAATTACAATTAGAATTACGTCATGGATCCCACAACCCCAATTGTGGTATTTAGCCACTCATGATTTTAGTATACATTCAGAAATATCGAACGAAAACATGTTTTGAAAGTACTTACAAGAATAAGCTAATCAACATGCCACTTCGATAATTCATGAACCAGAAATCCAAACTTCGAAATTAATTCAATGTTCACATCAAAAATCACAAACTGAGAATAAAAGAAACTTTTTATTTTGTCGTTCAAGTTTAGACAAGATAAAACATAAAAAATGACCTAATTAATTCAAATAAGTATTTTAAAAAAGAGTCCTACTTGAAGTAGGACTAGACTGTTGGGCCCTTCACTCCCACTTCTACGACCCGTCAAGGGCTTCACGGTCCATGAAGCCTTTCGCGGTCTTCACTTGGAATCACACAAAACACCTTCTTCAAGCCTTGCACACAGTAACTTATCATGGACGACACCATGGGTTGTGGCACTGACCACGGTCCGTAAATGTGCCAGTGGTTTGCACTTGGTCACTTTCCATTTAAGCTTCTTGAGTCCTAAGTACTGGATCATCTTCACAATCATCACAACGGGCCGTTATACTGACCACAATCCGTGGAGCCTTTTGCGGTCTTCACTTGGTTGCTCATGCACTCCATCTTACCAAGTCCCAAGCACTGGTTCAACTTCATGAGCACAAACACATACCGTTATGAGGACCACGGTTCTTGAATTTGGCCGTGATCTTTACTTGATCCTACAAAAAATACACTCAATTTTAGTATTAATCCTTAATATTCAAGTATCAAATATGCCAAGATTTTGCAGCACATGAACACCCTCAACATAGAACAATTACTTGTCCGCAAGTGATGAGAAAACAATACATTCAGCCCTCACGTCATTCAAACACTTTTGACATTACACAACAACCATCTCACACACAATTTGTATCCAAAACTATGAATCTAACATGCAAGGATAAATCTATAACATCTCATTACTCACAGTCGATCATGCTTATGCTTGTGAATTATTAGCTAACAGAATCTACTGTCAACTGCATTCATTGTGCCCTCACACCAAATAAGTCCCTGACTCATGATAATTAGGACTAAGTACTATGCTCAGACTCTGAAAGAACTTCTAACACTAACAACAAACTACCATAGGCTTGCCCTTGCTTTCTACGCTCTATCTTGCACACACCCGAAATAGGATCACTGTAGGACTTTATCAGCTTGTAACATAGGCTCAGGGTAGGGTATGGATATTTGGCTTTATGAGTGACTAGTCCCTTGGTTTTTTAAAGTTTCGTATTCACACAACTCTTTTCTGAGCGATTCCCTCTTTTCTTCATTTCAGCACATTCTAACAAACATTTTTTTCCTTTGTCATTTTCTTTTCTTCATTTTCTTTTCTTTTCTTCACACTTTCTTTTAATTATATGCATTTTTTATATACACTCAGCTCATTGGTTGAACTTTCTTTTTCACTTCTTTTTTCTTTTAGGATTGCAATAACCCTAAACTTATGCTTTTGGCCTGAGTTGTGACATAGTATCTTCGGATACCAAAGGATATGATATTTACTACGTAAGAACAAAAGTTGATTTTTAGGCGAAAATCGGGTTCAAGTGGTAAGCTTTTTATTTGGTTGTTTCATTTGTGCTTTTTAGTGGTGTAACAAAAATGTCCTAGTGATCCTTTCCTATCTGGTTATTCGCACATTTAAGCAAGACTACTCGGGCAAGTTCTAGTTTCTGCTCCTAGTGTTAGACTTCGAATAACACTCACATACACCTGACGCAAGACTACATTCTCCTGTTTCTTGGTTCACCAATTTATTTATCAGACTAGTAATGATCAACATGTATGTATCTAAGATGTTATCTAAAGATCCTAATAGTTAAATTTCAGATTAAGGTCCTTATTTTTCATAGACTAGTTGCTGCACAACTCAACACACAAACACAAACACAAACACAAAACTAGTTTTCACAATAAAAACAAAGTCAACCACCATTCATTCTAACATCTTAGAATGGCAGGTTGCTCACCACCCTCTCTCCAGAAAAAAAGGACTTTGCCCTCAAAGTCAATAAAGAAAACAAAATAGGGTTGTGAGGAGAGGTCATAACTACGATACTCTAAGCACTGGTAGTCGGAGTAGCGTCAGTACCATTATCAGCGGGTGCACTCTCAGAACTAAACACATGATCAAGCTGGCTACCACTCACCGGGATAGGTACTCTGCTACCACAAGCTCCAGCTAATAGTACATTTAGTTATTGTTGCTCACGTGCTTTTTTTTCTCTAGCTGCCTTTCCTGATGCCTTGCATGCTTTCTTTTCTTGCCTTCTTTCCTCTCTGGACAGGTCAGCAGTATTTCCTCATCAGATTCTTTGGCTCTGTGTTTCCTCTTGCCGGACTTACTCTTGGGTAGTTCACAACATAAATCGTCAAGTGATTGAGTGGAGGGTGCCTGATTGAGCAATTAAATCAAAGAATCTGGCATAATTAGAGTGAGTTCTTGTACTGGTTTTTCAGCCAGTTTACCAACCTGAGTTCGCATCTCAGCCAATTGTGCTTTGAACTCTTCAATATCTACGGAACCTGCGGCCTTGAATCGATCCTGAACAAGGTTCTCCAAACCATCCATCATGTCTTTTAACACAACCCTCTCCTTCTAAATCTGATCATTAATCTCTTTATTCATAGCTAACACATCTCACTCTATTATCTATGGCATTTGATTTACAATCTAGTCGACCAAGGTCCTGGTTTGGCACTGATCTGCACCAAATTTCTCAAGTAAAATCATAGGAATAGTAAAATAGGTAACTTGACCCTGTGAGGCGGAAGCTGGTGGTGGTGGTA